AATAAATAAATAAATAAATAAATAAATACTTCCAGATAGATAACGTGAAAAAACCCCTCGAGTTCTGGAGGAAGATATACATGCAAACAATTTTGCGTGAGTGCAATGCTATGGGCCCGGGAGGAGCTCTGAGTTTGTAGTTTAAAAACCTTCTCACTTTATGTACCACCTGGCCCGACTTTGCCTCATCTGTGAAATCCAGAAATAAGAACATACCCTCTAAAAGTCAAGGTCAACTCCCTCTAAAAGTCAAGTGGGATCTTGGGAAGCAAAATGAACTGTGATTCTCTGGATGTTTGGCTGTGTGCGACATTTGGCCATGTGACTGGTCTTGCTGGGGTTTGCTTCTGAATGGCCTCGAGGAATCTAGAGGAGGGAGGAAGACCCTGTCCCAGGTCCCAGTATAAAATTCTGGCTATGTCTGCTTCTCTCTCATCAGAACCCTTTACTCCAGCCAAACTGGTCTCTGCCCCTGAGGTGTTGCTCTTGCCAAGAGAAAGACCCTATTTGCAAACCACCTGCTCAGTACTTGCTACCTGGAAGTTTCTCCCACTGCCCAGGGCCTCACAAGGCTTTTGTAATCACTTTATCTCTGTACTCAGGAAGCAACTGATTTTTGCATTGCTACTTAGGCCCTTAGTATATTTTACTATATTTATCTGCAATATCTGAAAAGACAAATAAGTCTTGCTCCCTTGAGTATCTAAGTGTCTCATAGATAGTTACTACTTTGCTATTTATATTTAAACTATTGTTCTATCAAGTTCTCTCTCCTAATCCTTTCCCCCAAATGCATTTGTTCTAATCTCTTCCATCAGGCTTGGTATAAAGTCAATCTCTCTGTCATCACACTGGCCTCTGAATGGTACAGGGGAATAGTTTTGAATTTCTTTTCTCTTTGTTCAAGTCTTTGGCTCTACAGGAGGTGATGATTATCAGTGAATGGCTTGTTACCATGATCATCTATGGAGTGTTTATTTTATACTAGAAACTATTCAAAATACTTTTCATATATTAGCTCATTTAATTCTCATGATAGAACTATGATATGTGTACCTTTATGATATGTATAGGGAAGGAAATAAGAACAGAGAAGTAATTGTCAGAGCTTCCCCACTGGGAGATTGCAGATCCAGAATTTACAGCTAGTGGAACCCAAGCACTGCATTATCTTGCTCCTGGAAAGATGGATGGTAGTTGAAAGGAGTAGAAACAATGGTCCTGGATAAACCCATGTTTGTCATCAGTCCCCATACATCTTTCAGAATATTTGAGAAAAACTGGGGACTGAGTTAGAGAGACAGAGCCAAAAGCAAGTGGAAGATTGCACAATTATTTTGTGAAAATACAAGCTTCAGAAAGCCAATTTAGATCTTTTTAAGTCATGGTGTTTTTTGTCCTTGATTGTGTAAGTTTTTACTTAGAAACCTAGCAATAATAATTGGTAATTAATAATTAATGTGTTTTTTGACAGCCAAACATTCATCTTGTGGGAATTTTGCATAATTTTGCCTCTGCAAAACTAATGGTTTTGCAATTTTTATTTTCATTGGGCGGAAAAAAAGCTAGTGATTCACTAATTATGTTTTCTTATTGGCAGATAGCTATACGCTGTTTACACATTAATATATAAAGCCTTAGCCTATTTTACTTTGCCCAGTGGGAAACTGAACAATGAGATATCTTGTGCAAAAAGTGAACATTTGAACTATGCTAGTTCCATATGCCTTTATTATCATTCCAGAGACTTTTCCTCTCAACTTGATTTGACTTCTGCAAGATAACTTTTCAGGAGAAGTAGTTTCCTAATCTGTGGAACTTAGAAATATAAAGAAGTAATTTCTTGTATTCATTAATCAGATCCCAACTTTCTTAAAAATCACCTCAAGGCACCAATCCTCAGACTTCAGTGTGTAGAGGAATCACTTGGGGAGCTCATCAAAATGCAGCTTCCCAGGCCCCATCTTCAGAGACCAACTCACTCCCCAGGTGATTCCGATGCAGATATCCTCAGGGTGCCAGAATGGAATGCAGGATGTGGTAAGTGGGGAATGGAGAAACTCAGCACTCTGGGGACTCAGGCACAGCAGTGCCAGAAAGCAGATGGGCCTTTCATGGGACTATTCAGGGAGCTGTCTGAAGTCTGGCTTCCAGGTAATAGAAGACTTCCGCCCTTGGGTAACAGAATGCTATTCATATCCATCTTGCAACTGTGGTGAAAATCACTGACCTCCTGTGCAATTATATTCTGTAGGTCTAGGGGAGAAAGAAGTCAGTCAGCAGATGGCTAAGTGCTCACTGTGAACATCTGGGATGGGGCTCGGTCAGGAGGCAGAGCTGGAGAAGGAGAGACATGTAGGTCTAACCACTTTGCCGTAGTCTTGAGGGCTGGGTTCTCAGCCTGCAGCCTGCACACTAAAAGGGGGACATGGAGCTAATTGCAAAGGGAGAACTATATTGTGCAGGGTCCAGTCAGGGGAAATTATCCAATTTCTTCCCCCTGGAAGAACACTATGAGAACTGCTAAGAGACTAAGGCAGGACTTCCAGGCCTGGATCTGCTGACACTTGGTCCATGGAGGTGGGAAGATCCCTGCATGACCCAGTGGGTGAAATTACTTTGTTCACAAGTGAGTGAGCAGGAAAAAAGCCAGTGAGAATAGGCCCTCTGTAAAAGAATGGCCTCTCCACCTCCACCCCCAGTCCTGCCCCGTGCACACTAGACCCTGCCTGCAGGCAGCGAACCAAAATGGCAAAGAGAAATGTCTAAGGAGGATTCCAGGTGGTTTCTGTGGGATGTGTGCTGTAAACTGTTTTATCTGCCTCAAATGGAGAAATATTCTCCATTTTGGGAAAACTCAGTGTGGAAAGTAAGATGGCAACAGCTTTCTGAGTTCATATACGTACTTTAATTTTTTTTTTTAATGTTTATTTATTTTGGAGAGAGAGACAGAGTGCGAGTGCGGAAGGTGCAGAGAGAAAGGGAGACACAGAATCCGAAGCAGGCTGCAGGCTCTGAGCTGTCGCACAGAACCCGACGTGGGTTCAAACCCACAAACCCAAGATCATGACCTGAGCTGAAGTCGGACGCTTAACCGACTGAGCCACACAGGCGCCCCTCATATATGTACTTTAAATATCCAGATCCAGTAAGCCATTTGTTTCCCACCTTTGTGAACTATGCTACAAGCTTGCTTGCTTTCTTCTTTCTTTCTTTTTCTTTCTTTCTTTCTTTCTTTCTTTCTTTCTTTCTTTCTTTCTTTCTTTCTCTCTCTCTCTCTCTTTCTTTCTTTCTAAGTTTTATTTAAGTAATCTCTACACCCAACGTGGGGCTTGAACTCGGGGCTTGAACTCACAACTCCAAGATCAAGAATCACATGCTCTTCCAAATGAGCCAGCCAGGGGCCCCATAAGCTATAATTTTTCAAATATATGTTCTGTAGATGTTGTGAATGATAAAATACAATTTTTTAAAAAAGACTCCTTGAATTTGTAATAGATTTTGAGGGTGGATTTTCTCAATAACTTTTGTGGTTGGGTCTGAGGAGATTTTTGATGTTAAAAAGGAGGACTTCATACTAAAAAGGGGTAGACACCACTGATCAAAATATCACAACTGTGTCTTCAATTGGACTCCAAAATACCGCCCATTGAATGTAAACACTGAGTAGCAACTCCATTGTGTCATTTACAATGGATTTTTTTTTTAAGTAGTAAAGGTGAAACTTCATTTTAGTTAGACTTTAACAAAATATGAACACTGGATAAATAAAGGAGTGTCTATAAGGTACGCTTACTTAAAAAACTGTCACATTGGGGTGCCTAGGTGGCTCAGTTGGTTGAGCATTTCACTTCAGCTCAGGTCATGATCTCATGGTTTGTGAGTTTGACCCTCACATCTGGCTCTCTACTGGTAGAAAAGAGTCTGCTTTGGTCCTCTGTCCCCTTCTCTCTCTACCCCTTCCCTCCTCTTGCTCTCTTTCTCAAAAATAAATAAAAATATATTTTAAAAAACCCTATCACTTTATTTGATTCTGGAATTGTAGGAGAGAAACCTATTTGTTGCTTAGTAAGAACACGCACATCCAGGGGCGCCTGGGGGGCTCAGTTGATTAAGTGTCCAACTTTGACTTGGGTCATGGTCTCACAGTTTGTTGGTTCGAGCTCCACATCGAGCTCTGTGCTGATGGCTCAGAGCCTGGAGCTTGGTTTAGATTCTGTGTCTCCCCCACCCCTCTCTGCCCCTCCCCCACTAGCGCTCTGTCTCCATCTTTCAAAATAAATAAATGTTAAAAAAAAAAAAAAAAAGAACATGCACATCCAGAGTGATTCTGTTTCATTTTCCCTAGGCTCTGTTATGTGGCCTACTTACTACATGTCCTGAGGATCCGCTGAAATATTTACAGAAAATGATCATTACTATAATGGAAAATGGTCTCGAAAGTCTTCTCTGGTGAGTATTGTTTTGCTTTATGGTAGGGAGATATTTTATTCTGAATGTAAAACACTCACTATAGAGTACCAAAAGAAGTCTTCTAATCTCAGGATGGTTAAGGAATCCCTCCATAGGCTTTTTTAAAATGTTTATTTCTTTTTGAGAGAGAGAGAGAGAGAGAGAGAGTGTGCGAGTGGGGCAGGGGAAGAGAGAGAGGGAGACACAGAATCCAAAGCAGCTCCAGGCTCTGAGCTGTCAGCACAGAGCCTGACGTGGGGCTCAAACCCACAGACCGTAAGATCATGACCTAAGGCCAAGTCAGACACTTAGCTGACTGAGGCACCCAGACGCCCCCTTTCATAGGCTTTTAAGTCTGAAAGACTTCAATAGGAACAATTTCCCCACTGGTTCTTAACTTGAGAAATATAGCCCTCTCTCATCAATAATGTGCTCGTAGGGCAGTTATTTCAAGTTGGGGATGAGGAAAAAGAGGCATACTCTCTTGGGGGGCACAGCAAAATCTGGAGGAGGGGGTGGCTGACACAGTCCTGCAGTAGGTTTTGATATACTTCTCCCAAGGGGAGGTGTCTCCTCCTTCCCCTCCCTTCAACTCCACCCATTGAATCATGGATTCAAATCACTGATTTAATTATGGAAGTAACTACTATGAAATGAAATGTTTGACTGTGTTTTATGATTTTATCAAAGGGATATGTGCATTGATCCATCAATGAGGCCAAAAATTCGGAGGTTGTCTGAAACTTACATGGAACAACTTTTTGGACTGGATGATCAACTGGTCAGTATTAGTAATCAGACATTCTAAAATATACATCCCAAGTTTTGATGGAAGTTCTCAAATAGATTTTAGATTTTATAAGATGTATGAGGTCAAACTGTTTTTGAATTGGGGACACTCAGAGAAGTGAAGGAATATCACCCCCCCAACACCCCACATACAGCCACATTCATAGTAAACTTCCCAAATTTCCAGAAGTATTTAACAGACATTTATTCTTCCTCTTCTGATAAAATCTTTCTATTATATTTTTCCCATTCCTCTTTCTCCTTCTCCTCTCCTCTTGCATCTTTATAATGATAAAACCAACATTATGGAAAGCTTTAAATGAGGATATTGTCCTTCCTTTCTAATCTACTTCCTTCTGTATTCTATCCCTTCTCCATTCTCTTTGCCATCTGCCCAGGGATCATGCTCATAAAGATATGGCCAAACAACGAGAGCTAACTTAAAAGCCAGACCGATTGTTAAAGAAAGGAACAACCAGCTCTAACAGCTGGTTTTGATCCTGTACAGAGGGCAAGGAAGTAATTCAGGACACGGAGACTTTTAGAACAAAGACTGTGTATCTGAGAGAAGCTAAAATAGCAAAAGGCATGTGGGGAGAGAAATGCCAACACAAATTACATGTGTGTGGGGCCTTGTGTGATACCTCCAGATCCCAGGCTGGTGTTTTGGTAAACACAGGCAGGGCTTGGGAGCTGCTGGTGAACTTGGGCGCCAAAAAGTGAAATTGAAGCCTGGGTCAAGGTGGATGCTGAGAGCCAGGATCAGTCTGAAGCATAATTTGGAAGGCTGGGTGGAGGGTCACACTGGATCCTACTCAGTGGTCTGCATCAGAGAGACAGAAATAGAGGGACAGGATATTTCTGTCAAGACTGGGATGATTCTGAGTACCAATACAATGGGAAGAACCCACATGTCCAATCCTAGCTGATCTGTGTTGTGGTGTCTGGGTGTCTTAATGACTTCACTTTATCAGCCATAGAACTTTATCTACTATGAAGTGCAGGTGTCTGCAAACTGTGTTCTCGGAGATGTTTGGGGGCCACCTCAGGAGCTGAGGGAGAGATCCAGGGGGTGGGGATTCAGGGTCTTTCACCCCCACCTTACACTCTAGAACAATTCCACTTTGAATATAATGTCATATGAAAAAAGCTTAAACATCATTGCTAAAAGATACTAAAATTATTAAAAACCACTGACGTAGAGGGGTGAACCTCGTCAATATTTTGAAAGTGATTTTGTAAAATACAATCAGATTATGTTCAATATCTAGCTAGAAGCCTATAGAGAATCTTTTAAAGAATTGCACAGAATTCTGAGACACCATAGCAACTTTAAACCTAAAGTTTTATTAGAAAAAGAATTCTCAGAGATATTTCATGATGTTGAAAGTGCAAAGGATAAAATACAGGAAGCTCATGCACATTTAGAAAGGAGGATGATTGGGGCACCTGGGTGGCGCAGTCGGTTAAGCGTCCGACTTCAGCCAGTCTGATTGCATGGATCCCAGTGGGTTGAGCCCCGATCAGGCTCTGGGCTGATGAGCCAGAGCCTGGCCTGTTTCGATCTGTGTCTCCCTCTCTCTCTCAGCGGCATCCCCGTTCATTTAAGCTCTGTTTCTCTCTGTCCCAAAAATGAATAAACGTTGAAAAAAAAAAAAAAAAAAAAAAAAAATGTAAAAAAAAAAAAAAAAAAAAAAGAAAGGAGGATGATAATTCATATGTATAGAAAAGATGTCTGCTTCATTTTATAAAGTAGGAAAGGTAGAAACTAGATGTGATTTCACAAAAGGTAACTCTCTAGATGCCTATGATTGCTTTGTTAGAGGGCTCAGCCAAGATTGAATATGGATTAATTCATTTCTCCTTCACCCTCAGAGGAAAATGAAAAATTATTATTTTTTTTTACAAAGGATAAGACACTTTAATCCTTATAAGTTTAGTATTTTATTTTATTTTATTTTATTTTATTTTATTTTATTTTATTTTATTTATTTATGTTTTTTAACATTTATTTATTTTTGAGACAGAGAGAGACAGAGCATAGTGAGCGGGAGGGGCAGAGAGAGGGAGAGCCTGACAGAATCTGAGACAGGCTCCAGGCTCTGGGCTGGCATGGAGCCTGGCAGAGGGGTTGAACTCAAGGGATGAGATCCTGGTAAAGTGGAGCTCAGCAAGCTGAGCCATTTACAAGTTTCCAGTATTTTAAATTATAGTATACTAAATAAATATCAGCTTTGCTTTTTTCCCCCATTTTTCTTTCCTATAGTTTCCTATATGGCTATAATTACTGATGAGAGTTTTTAATGTTTTGACAAAATATTTAAAATATACATATTTTTTAATGTTTATTTATTTTTGAGAGAAAGAGAAACAGAGTGTGAGTGGGGGAGGGGCAGAGATTGAGGGAGACACACAATCTGAGGCAGACTCCAGGCTCTGAGCTGTCAGGACAGAGCCTGATGTGGGATTCGAACCCACAAACTGTGAGATTATAACCTGAGCCCAAATCGGATGCTTAACCGACTGAGCCACCCAGGGACCCTGATAAAACATTTTAAAGATCACAAACAATTGTAATCTTTCCCATTTTTAAGATTGCTTTGTAGGGGGACCTGGGTGGCTCAGTGATTAAAACAGCCGACTTTGGCTCAAATCATGATTTCCCGTTAGTGAGTTGGAGCCTCGCTCGCATCAGACTCTGAGCTGATCAGAGTCTGGAGCCTGCTTTGGATTCTGTGTCTCCCTCTCTCTCTAACCCTCCCCTGCTCATGCTCTGTCTCTCTTTCTCTCAAAAATAAATAATAAACATTAAAAAATTAAAAAAAAAGATTGCTTTGTATTGTCTCAGCATGCTTCTGTCTCCACACTGTTTTGCCTATTTATAACAAAGTATTTGTTTCTATTTGTGCAAACAGAGAAAATTGAATACAGGAAACTGTGAGCAAGCCACATTGTTAGAGAAAAAGTAGGAACTGCTCTCATAATAGTAAATAGAAAGACAGTTTAACTATGTGTTCCAAGATGAAAGAATCAACCATTGTCAGGAGGAAACTAACTTCACAGACTTGATTCTCATTTCTTAGGAAATGAAATCTCCAGATGGGTACTGATTACAAGAAGAAAAGACTTCTATAATATTAAAAAAAATCTTTTTATCATGGAAAATTTTAAACATAACACACAAGCAGAACACCATAATGATTCCTCATCATCCAGCTTAAATGACAGTCAACATTTTGCCAATCTTGTTAATTATCTCCCCTTGTCCTTTTTTTTGCTGAAGTATTGGAAAGCAAATCCCAGGAGTTACATTATTTTACCAGTAAATACATCAGTGTGCATCTCTAACAAAAAATGACATTTTTAGGGAACATAGCACAGTGCCATTATCTATGTAATGAAATTAGCAGTAATTTCTGAACATCGCGTAGTGCAGATTATATTCAGATATATATATTTCATATTCAGTCCATATTCGAGTTTCCCAAATTGTCTCAAAAATACCTTTTTAAACATGACTCTGTCAAATCAAAATCCATATGGAGTTCACATTGCACTTGGGTATCATATATTTAATACTTCTTGTAATAAACTTTCTTATTTCCCATGCCACTCATTTACTGAGGAAAACATCATTTGTCTTGTAAAATGTCCCACATTCTCATTGTTTCCTCTGGCATCATTTCATTTGTTCTGTTTCTTGTATTTCCTTCAAGTTTGTAGTTAGATCCACAAACTTGATATTCAGGTTCTTTTTTTCCCCTTTTTTTCTCTTGGGGACAAGAATAACTACATGGGGAGGGGTGGTTCTTCCTAGTGCATCACATGGGGGTGCACCCAGAAGTGTGGCAGACCCAGTTTTTATCAATCTTGATTCTTCTAGACATTAACAGAATTGCTTATTAGTTTCATCTTACAATACACGCATAATGGTTTTGGAATAACGATACTACAAGATCACTAACAATAAAACTACTGAATGTAGTTTACGAAAAGTATGCAATTCAAAAGAGTTATGCAATTCTTTTTGCCTTTAAGATGTATATATCCTACCAAATATTTTCAGTAAAAATACTTTTTTTGTTACCCCAGATACTTATTTTTTTTGTGCCGATGGCCATCTTTTTTTCTCCTTGATATAATTATGCTTTTCCAATTATGTATAACATTACTTGGCAATAAAAACAATAAACGATACAACAAAATGAGTG